TTTCTCTCTCTTTATGATTAAACCCATCTTTAAATTCATGTTCCTGGTCATCAAACTCTTCTCCATTTTCAAATCTGTATTTATTATATCCTCCTTTAAACGCGCTTAAATGATTGTGTCTATAGTCTTCATCATCATGATTGATTTCTGCAATATCATCCTTGAGAACATGCCCATTAACAATCTCATTATCCCTGTTGTATCCATTGCTATGTCTATTTTTAGAATTGTACACTTCATCATGTTCTAATTCAATGTTATGGCCGTATTGATTATTTCTATTTCTACTAGATTCACGTCTGAAATCGAATTTGGAGATTGGATGGATTGGGATTGAGGTAACAGTAAATGAAGATAGGATATAGGATAAAGTAGTCCCAAATATCTAAAGTGAAAAAAAAATATCAAAGTTGAATACAATATTAAAAGAACGTATTAAAGGCAAATAACCAAAAAAAAAGGATCAAAATTTTACCAAGACTTTGGTTGAATTAAATACTTTCATGGCCGCGATAATTCCTTTAAAATAACGCGTATGACAAGATTATTATAAATTATTTAGAGTTTTGTGTATAATTACAGTAATCTAAGATGGTCTCTAGAAATTCTCTTATACTTTTAGGGGGGGAAACAGATACAATTCTTCGTCAAAATCTTAAAGACGGTCTATTTATAAAAGTTTTGACGGTATATTTTTGAACAGATTAGACTTACCTATTGAGAATTATACATACAATCATCGTTCTTCAGGACTTGCGTGGAATTTGTATTATGACTATGCGAATGGAGGCATGATTACAGCAAGGGGAACTAATTTATTAATTAATAAATTAATTTCCCTTGCTGTTATCTTACAACAATTCACATAGTCATCATACGAATTCATGCTAGTTCTGTAGTTACCTCCTAATAATTATTTCAGAGACCTTAAGATAAAGGGTTACATCCATACATTAATAAATCATAGCATATTAATCACTTCGCATATATGTATATATATTGAATAATTTTTATAAAAGTTAATCAATTACAAGACATGAAAGTTCTATTAACCAAAAACATCATGGACGTCAAAGATAGCCATATAACAAGTAATATATTTGTCCCCTTTTTTTTTTTTTAGAAATGCGCGAAAATGAAGAACGAATTGATAGTGAACAAATACAAAAGATTGAATCGAGGAGTGAACAAATGCAAGAGTTTCGAAAACGAACTAAATAATCCAATTCGTAAAATCTCTTTTCCATTAATTTACTAGTTGGTTGATTGTGATTTCAAATAGATGACCGACAATCGTAGAATACTTATAAATTATTTCCATATCGATATAACATGAACAAACAGCAGATAAGATTTGATATTGTATATTATCATAAATGGCATAGATAGTGTGCTTGATTATAAGATCATGCAATATTATAATTGTTTATTAGATTCAATGATGAGGATGGGTTTCAATTTTGCTTTATTTTAAGTTTATTTTTTTTTTTTCATTATCTTCTAGGAAAAGAAATCTAGTTCATATTGGTGTGTAAATCAAGGAAAACTCGACAAAACCTACACGTTCATTCTCGTCTTCTGATTCATGCTTATGGATATGTTCGCGACCAAACCCTTCTTTATGATTATTTATAC